TGGGAATGCTAATGATGATTGTAAGGTGGTGCTCTGCCCCGTTAAATTTATGACCACTGACACCAGCCAGTATCTTAAGGCCTGTCAGAATGTTTGCACCGAGTGCCACCATGCCTCCTTACTCGCAGTGGACATTAAAGGAGAAATAAATTGCTTCAAATGTGGCCGTCTTGGCCATACTTGTAACGATTGCCGCTTGAAAGGCCTAGTTCAGAACATGGCCCCACCTAGCAAGGATTGCCCGTGTTGTGGAAAGGAAAACATTGGGCCAATCAAGGGAGATTGAAATTGGACAAGGATGGAAAGCTCTTTCCTCCTCAGGGAAACTGGCAGAAGGGCGCGAGCTCCGGTGCCCTGGAAACCAACAGGAGTTCCAGCCAAGTTTATCAGGCTGAGGCCTCCTCCGGGTCACAGGTCTCCAAGCTGCCGCAAGGGGAAGCACAGGACTGGCCACTACCCAGGAGCTCGTTCTGAAAGAACAAAATAACTGGTGCTCCCACTGGAGCCCAGAGGCCGTTGCCCCAGGGAACAGTCGGGTTGATAATTAGGGAGATCGAGCCTCACAGTTCAGGGAATTTTAGTTCAGCCTGGGGTAACTGACTCGGACTATCAAGGAGAGATTAAAATAATGGTTAGGGCCCTCAGGTTTCATTTAACACCTGCACAGACTCAAGTCATCCAGCTCTTCCTCCTTCCTTATACAGACAAGTTCAAGGCATTAACAGAGGAGGAGGTGCTTTTGGCAGCACTGGCAGTCGATCAATTTATTGGACTGCCTCTGTTAAATTAAATAAACCCATTCTTGAGGTAAAGATTAAAGACAAAGTCTTCCAAGGCCTGTTAGACACGGGTGCAGATGTCTCCATAATTTCAAATTCACAATGGCCTCCGGATTGGCTGTTAGCAGAGATCGACATCTCCATAACTGGCATAGGAGGCATCTCTCCATCACGAAGGAGCATTTGGACCCTCAGGTGCTGTGGCCCTGGCAGATAGGACACATTCAACCCTGTGTTCTCTCTGCTCTGTTTAACATCTGGGAGAGAGAGCTCCTTATTCAGTGGGGAATGCAAGTTACTCTTCCCCCTTTTCCCTAGTGGCCACAGTTCAGGTATCTCTGCCTTGCACCTGGTTGTCAGATATGCCGGTGTGGGTTGATCAGTGGCCACGAAAAGGGGAGAAGTTACTTAGGATACAAGAACTCGTCCAACAATTGTTAAAAGCTGGGCATATAGAGCCATCCAGTAGTCCCTCGAATACTCCCATTTTTCTTGTCCCCCCAAAATCAGACAAGTGGAGACTTATTCATGATCTCCGGAAAATTAATGAGCTCCTACAACCCATGGGCACCCTTCAGCCAGACGTGGGAGTCTCCGTCCTGAGGGGTCCTCCTGGCTGTGGAAGATGAGAGTAAGTCGTTCCGGACACACTTGGTCTGGCGGGAAAGGGGATGGCGATTCCCTCCAGTGGAGAATGCTCCAAATCCTTCTCTGAAGTGGCTTTTATTGAGAATGCTATACAGTATACGTGGAAAGCTTATCAATCAATGCTTAAAGGCTATATTTACAGATAGGGATCGTAGATAGCAATGGAAGGAACACAGAGATTTGCCTCGGGTCAGGGTCTGTTAGACATGCTGACGTCAGATGGTTGTTAAGGCAGGACTCCTGAACTCAGGAATTCTCTCCTGTTTGGAGCTTAACAGAGCTATTCAAAGCAAAGCAAGCTTCAAAGGGAACAGTGGATTTTTCAGGCCTGATTTCCCACGGGAACCTTTGGTGCTAGCATCAGGTTATGTCTGTCTCCCAGCATTCCTAGTTTTCTGGTTGAGCTAGCATCAGGTTATGTCTGTCTCCCAGCATTCCTAGTTTTCTGGTCGAGACTTACTGGCCCTTTTTCAAGGCCAGGATCGTGTGGGGCTGCAATTCCTGACACCACACAGAGTGGGGAGTCCCCAACACCTCAACCTCTAACCATCTTCTTCTTCTTTCTCTTCTTCTTTTTTAAAAGATTTTACTTATTCATTTTTGGGGGGTGGGGAAGGGAAGGAGAAAGAAAGGGGGAGAAACATCAATGCGTGGTTGCCTGTCGTGCGGCCCCTACTGGGAACCTGGGCCGCAACCCAGGCATGTGCTCTGACTGGGAATCGAACTGGCGACTCTTTGGATCTCAGGCTGGCACTGGGTCCACTGAGCCACACCAGCCAGGGCTGAAGGTTTTATTTTTAGTTGGCTCTTTGTGTTCTCATGCCATCTTGGTGCAGAAAAGAGGTGTCATAGCTGCCTGACTCCCATCCTTTGCAAGGCTTGTTACAAGGTTGGCCTTTGGCTGGCATCTGGGAGCTTAGATTGTGGGAGGATTTCCATCATTCCCTAAATTGTAAGAGTAGGTCACTGTGCTGAACTATTCTGCAAACAATATGGTTTATACCGAACACTTTCATTCCTTCCAGAAGTCTAGAATTTTGAGCAAATTGCAGGGACAGGGTGTCTAAGTGATCAACCTCCAACAGAAAACCTTGGAGATTTATGGGGGTTGGGGGAGGACGAGGAGAGAATGATTCACTCAGGACTTGGCTCATGTGATTTTGGAGGCTGAGAAGTCCAAGACTTGCAGTCTGGTATTGTAGTCGAGTCATAGTATATGTATCGAGTCATAGTCCAAATGCAGAAGATCCACGTCCCATCTTGAAGACAGGCAGGCAGAGACGAGAATTCTTTCTTACTCAGCTTTTTGTTCTTTTCAGGCCTTCAATGGATTGGATCAGGTCCATCACATTAATTAGTCTACTGATTCAAATGCTAACCTCATCCAGAAACATGGGCACAGACAAAGCCAGACATAATATTTAACGAATATCTGGAAATCCTGAGGCCAGTCAGTCAACTGACATATCAAATTAACCCTCACAGGGGTGGTCTCCATAAAACCCCATAAAATCCTACATTGGCTTCTGCTCCATACAGATTACAGATCAGCCATTCCCAGCCTTGACCTCTTTCCAGCAGAAGTCTTACTGTCTCAGTAGAATTGGGTGCACTACACCCTATCTCAAAATATATGAAGAACAGAGAAGTACATTCATTTATTCATTTCATTCAATAAAGTTGCCTCCTATGTGCCAGGCACTATGTTACTGAGAGGGCTGTGTGCAGGCAGAGGGCGGCAGGAGATGGGGCACAGGTGGGCTGGATCACGTGGGCTCGGGAGACCACAGCAAGGGCATCAGATTTTGCTCTAAATGCAATGGGAGGTGCCCGAAGGGAGGTTAGTGCTGTGCGTGGCGCGTGGCGCGTGGCGCATGGTGAGCGCCCAACACGTGTTACTGAGCATGGAAGTGTTGCCAGTATTTACCTCACCAAGACTAAACTCAAACCCAGCCATCTTCCCGTTGTGATCCTTCCCACCGTCTAAGGCACCCAGTTGTCATCTTCTAGACTAGGTGATTCAATTATCTTTAATCATCCTTCTATTCCTTCTGCCATTTTTAGTCTCTAGTATTTGATTCTGAGCTACTTCATTTCACAGAGCCCATTTCTTCCTAAAATGGAGATTAATACCTCAAATGATTAAGATTAAATGAAGCAAATGCTTGTATACTGTTCAACAGGCAGCAAAAGCTCACTAAAGGTTAGCTGTCACTACTCTGGGCTAGGAATTGGAGACACATGGATAAGCAAGAGGAAGATTTTCGCCTTGGAAAAAAATGAGCTACCTCAGGTTAATCTGAAAGCTCAGTGTTGACTCTTCTCCGTTCCAGGCCCCGCTCTTCTAACAGGGTAAGGCCTAGGCTTCTTTAAACTTAAAAAAAAAAAAAAAAAAAAAAAAAAAAAGCAAATATTCAAGTTCCTTGAGGCAACAGCCCTGCCTTCCAGCTTTTTTGCCTCCTCCACCCCAAACTAAAGCATTCGGTGTTACACACACACCCCTGCTCCGTCACCTGCCTTCGCCATTGCCGCCCTCTCTGCCCAGAGGCCAGTTTGTACCGCAAACCCCGCTTTGTTACACCCCTGTACTCAGCAGGTGCTCCCTCAGTGCCTACCGTGTGCCGGGGATGTTCCAGGTGCTTGGCACACCGGTGTATAAGGCAAAGCTGCCCCCAAAGCGCGATGCTAGCGCGGGGACGATGAAACAAACATGCACAGCACACACCGGGTGTTGGTAAGAACGGTGAAGACAACGTGCGCACACATACTTCTGAAGTCTAAGTTCCAGGCTGGGGCCATGCCTTATTCAAAATCCTAGTATATTCATATAGCACTTTCTATTGGTAGATGCTTGGTATTTGAGTAAATAATAGTAAGGTTCTAGGGATTTTTTCATACTGTCAAATATTAAATCGGTAAACAGCAACAGCAGCTGTCTCCAAATTCAACAAAGCAAGATCTTTCACGCCTGCTTGGGGACCACTCCGCCGTTGAGAACTAGAGAGGTTGAAGAGAGGATGTTCCGCATTTTCAAATGGGTAATTTCCTTTCTGGCCAGTTTCCACAGCAGTCTGGGTGTTAAGAGCGCAGGTTGCAAGTTGGACTCTTAAGTCCAACGGTGCCTGCTAATCCCTCAGCCTCATACAATGGGCAAAGAAGAGGACCTACTATAGAGGGTTATTTGATGAGAACTGAATGAGCTCCTAGCATATAGTAAGTGCTTAAATGTTTTTAGCCATTGTTTTTATTGTGGGGTAGGAATGCGCTTTATTTAAGTATCCAGGTGGGGGTTGGTTAGGGGATGGAGCGCCTGAGCAAAGAAGGAAAAGGACTTGTGGACACGGACAACTCCGTGGTGACTGCAGGGGAAAGGGGGGTGTAAAGGGACTAAATGGTAATGAAAACAAATTCAATGAAAATTAATTTAAAAAATAAAAATAAAAATGCACAGAAACTTCTGTGCGAGTACAGGTATTTCAGGAAGCTTCTGAAAGAAAGGAGAACAATTTGGAGCGAAGAGCTTTTTAAAACAATTACAATTTGATAATTATAAAAATGAACATTTGGTAAGTTTTAGAGAATCCAGAAAAGATCCAAGCTTTCCTCCAACCACATTTATTGAACATACAACAAAATTCTATATACAGAATCACCTGCACCTGCTCTGCAAAACAAGATCCTTTCTTGCTAATAGTTTGATAGTCCATAGAGTGTCGAAAAGCAACTTACTCTAAACTTAAAAGTGCCCAAAGCCGTCAGTGAACAGCCTAACTACTGCAGCTGTCAGAGCGTGCGCAGTAATTCACGCGGAGACGCCCGCACCCCTGCGTCGGCGGCGGCAGAGCTGCGGCGACATCAGGAGGCCATCTTGTGCACCGCCACTGTGATGCCATCATGCTTCTGGATCATAATGTTCCTGTAAGGTAAAGCAGGAAACATTTGGTAAGATGTCCCAAGTGGGAGTCTGTGTAAGATTAAAGATGAAGTTTGGTTTAGGATGCAACTAAAAAATATTTAGCATTTTTCTTTTTTCTTTAAAAAAAGATTTTATTTTTAGAGAGCGGGTAAGGGAAGGAGAAAGAGAGGGAGAGAAACATCGATGCAAGAAACATCAGCTGGCTGCCTCTCACACACCTCCAACCAGGGACCTGGCCCCCAACCCAGGCATGTGACCTGACTGGGAATCGAACCAGCGACCTTTGGTTCGCAGGCCAGGACTCAATCCACTGAGCCACACCAGGCAGCTGCCCTGACTTCCAGCTTTTCCACCTCCTCCATCACAGACCAAACGCATTCGGTGTTACATACACACTCCTCAGGTCTGTCACCTGCCTTCCCCATTGCCACCCTCTCTGCCCAGAGCATCTTTCTATGTATAAAAGCAATATATGAACGCAACAAAATATTTGGGAAATACAGGGAAGTATATACTATAAAAATGAAATGAACCGCACAATCCAACCACTCCTGGTTTTATCTGCAATATATAGTATTACACGTTCCCCCGCCCCCGGCCGCCTTTTTTTTTTTTTTTTACAAAACTGTGATGATAGTTTTTTTTGTCTTAAAGATTCTATTTATTTATTTTTAGAGAGAAGGGAGGAAGAGAGGGAAACATCAATGTGTGGTTGCATCTCGTGCGCCCCCTGCTAGGGACCTGGCCTGCAACCCTGGCACGTGCCCTACACTGGGAATTGAACCAGCGACCCTTTGGTTTGCAGGCCGGTGCTCTATCCACTGAGCCACACCAGCCAGGGTGAAAAACTGTGATGATATTGTATGTAGTTTGCTGTATTCTGCTTGTGTACTTAAAATAGCTTTAGTATTCCTATTATTACAGAAGTAGTTTCTTTCCTTTGATTGGTCTTCCTCTATTTTACTTTCTTTTTCTTGGTAGACTGCCAGTTTATGCCAATTCTCCCTCTTCACGTTAAGTGCCACTGTGGTCTGAAAGCCCATGAGCTTCAGAGATCAAGCTGCCTGCACCTGTGGTCCAAAGGGTGCAGGTCTCCTTACAGCCCTTTGAATGAAGAATTACTGAGGAACACAGGACAGGCCCCAGTCGAGTTTCCCAGGGATTTTTCTGAACAAAAAGGAAAGGAAGGGACCTGCTGACTACTACTTACCCATTATCTGATTCTAGACACACCACAGGAATATCGGTGGGGTCTGAGGTGAGCTTAGCTGCTTGCTGGGCTAGAACAGATATGACCCCGGCGTGCTCATCTGACAGGGTCCCACGGCCTGGAAGACAGAGATGGTTACGTTGCCTGATTGTCCGAGAGTGAGTGCAGAGCTGTAGTATACTGTGTCTCTCACTGAATTATTCACAGGAAGAGTTCCGTCCACAGTCTCTTAGGTTAGTTGGTAACTGACATGAAATGATTCTGCTCTGCTTTACCTGGCTGGTTACATCAGTGAGAAAGCCAGACATCAGTTCTCAAATCAATAAAGCCGTAACAGACACTCAGTTTTCAAAGTCCTTCCCATCACCATCTCTAAACACCTTCTCAAGCGTATGAGGAAGCTGTAATCCAAGTCAACCTGAAAGTCATAAATTCATTTTATAGGAACCTTGCTGAAACCAACAAGAAAGTCAGAAGCGAGATCGACAAAAAGCAGTCAGTAAGGGCCAAAGACTTGTTGAAACTAATTCCTCATGGGAAATCTGATTTCCCTTTATTGAGCTCAACCTCAAAGGGTATAATAAAAGTCTTTACTCAGGAGCTCAGCTGTAAGACCACCTTGGCAGCATATGTGGATATTCTGTGAGCAATTAGTTCCACTAGAACAACTGGCTGTGTTCCAGTATCAACAGAATTGCCTTTTTATCATTTGTTTTAGCCTGTAGATAATAACTAAATCTTGGGCAGCAGACACAAAAAAGTAATTACTAAGTTTACAACACATTTGCACATATGAAGATAGCATAAGCCTCACCTGCCTGAAAGTAACAGGTAACAGGCACCCTACTACAGCAGAACAGAGGGACTTAGGACTGTCACCCAGAACACTGATGGACGGATGGGGCAGGCTCTTGGGCCTTGAAGGTTCCCTCACTGGAACCCCCATTAGTGAGCCTGGCAAGTGCTCAGCCTTTCTCCTGCCTCTTTTCCCCCAATTCACTGTGTGTAAAACCTGAGTTATGTAGGCAGGTTACCTCTCAGTCACCCTCCCAGCAAAAGGCCAGAGGTTGGTTGGTTTGTTTTTTTTTTTTTAAATTTTTATTTGTTTACCTTTAGACAGAGGGGAGGGTGGGAGAAAGAAGAGGGAGAGAAACATCACTGTGTGGTTGCCTCTCACGTGCCCCTTACTGGGAACCTGACCGGCAACCCAGCATGTGCCCTGACTCGGAATTGAACCAGCAACCATTGGTTCTCAGGCCGGCACTCAATCTACTGAGCCACACCAGCCAGGGCAAAAATTCAGAGATTTAAAAAGTCCTGCAGTTAAGAGGAGGTAATCAGCTGAATGCGTTATTACTTACCTTCCTGGATGTATTTCCCACCTGTAATTGTTATAATTTATTGAGCATTACATTTGGGTTGTGTGCTCTGTTTTACACATATTATATAATCTTACAGCATTGTGATTAAGAAGCTTTGGCGCCAGGCTCAAATCTCAACTCAACCACTTCATTTCTTTACCTACCTCATGTTATGAGGATTAAACGACTTAGTATATGTAAAGCACTTAGAATGGTGCCTTACACATAGTAAAAGCTCAGTAAACGCAACTTAATAATTATTATCATCATTAAACAACAACTCAGTAAAGAAACTCAGGCTCAGAAAGCTTCTGTTTGGTCCAAACAAATGGAAGAGGAAGGGGTTGAACCCAGGCGTGTCCAACTCTGAAGCCCCATTTTTACTGCCTACTCTCCTATTAAGTGCAGACTGAAAAAATAGTACCTGCAGGACTGACAATCGGAGATCAGAATAGGAAGCCTGGCAGCGCAACCACACAGCACACATTCAATCAATGTAACTGCTGTCATTACCAGAGATCCTTTCTCGACCCACTTTAAAATGAGTCAAATACTGTTTTGGTAGAAACAACTGTGTAGTGCAAGGAACGTCTCTACCTTTGTCAATACCAAGTGCAAAGTTTTAATTTTCTAATCTTGTTATTTGGAGATAATCTCTACTCTCCCAAAAGTAGCCAGAAAGTGGCAGGGTAACAGCACAGGGACCTCCAGTCAACATCAAACGCTGTGCCACCCACCGCAGGCTCAGGGGAGATACTTACAGCCCAGATTAAGCCCTTGTGAATCCGTGCATAGGACTCCAACAATGGATGGATTCTTCATTCTAATTCCAGGAACACATGATGTCAGAAAACCAATTTGAATATCCCAACAACACACACAAGTATTATTAGGTATCAGGCATTGTTGCAAGTGCTATAAACCAGTGTTTCTCAACCTTTTTCATTATCAACCCCCCTCCCCCGCCAACCCGAGAAGAATTATGTAAGTTAAACCAGTTCTCTCTGATGACAGAAGAGACTGTGTTAGGGGGCTCTGGAAGGCTGCCCTCGTTGGAAATGCATGCTTCAGCGTGCTAGCTCTCAAACACCTGCTGAGACACTCAAGCAACACGGTTGCCTCCGGAGGGGCTGGGGCGACGGCGGTGCTGCCCTGCACGCCTTCTTATTCTGGATTCTATCTAGCTAGTCCTCGCTGGAAAACTAAAGGGATGTCTTTTGTTTTCTTACACCAAATAACCGGTCACACGCGGAAGGAGATGTATGTGTGTTTACGTTTACACTGCAGGGCTCGACTACACAGGTGGCAGGCACATTCTTCCCCCAAATCAATCCATTTCCTGAAACCTGCGCAGAATACTCCGGTCTAGAGACCGTTTCAACGTGACCGGCGGTTCAGGGCTCCAGCCGTGGACACTCGCTTCGCAGGGAGCGTGCGGAGCCCGGCAGGATTTTAATTCCGGGTCACCAGCTCCCTGCGACCTCAGGGCCCGATTCACCGCCGGACCCAGCCGCTTTGGGGTCGCGCAGTGTCCCCAAGCCACCCGGGCAGAACTCGCAGCTCGCCCCTTTGACTCGCCGCTCAAATGCCCCAGCCGCGACCTCAGGATAGTCCGAACAGGCTGCACCACTCACGTGTCCTCTAAGTGTTGCTCCAAAGTCGCCTCCATCCCGCCAGCCGCCCACCAGACCCAGGACCCCTGCCGAATCCCGCCGGTTCTTCCTTCTCCAGCACAGGCCTCCAGCGCTCCTCGGTCACATGACGGAAGTGGGGCGCGCGCGGGACGGCGCCTCCGAAAGGACAAATTTCGCGGCGCAGCTGCCGCACTGGGTACCGGAAGCGCTCGCTCAGCTCCCGCGGCGGAGCCCCGCAGAAGTGCTGCTTCCAGAACGTCGAAGAGCGCTCCGGGACGAGGTGGAGCGAGCTGTCCCCGCAGGTTTCTGACCGGCCACTGTGTGCCAGGGATGTAACCCTGGCATTCCGATTCAATCGGCTCCGAAACGTCCGCCAGATTTTGTGTTAAATTTACCGTAATGCGGTGATCGGGCTGGGTCTTCGCCAGGCAGTCAGGGACCGAGAAGAGACACAGGGACCCCGTGAAGGGGTCTGCGTGAAGGTTTGGGGGTTGGGGGAGTGGGAACGACAGGCACACGGGGCTAGAGGACGATGTGGAACAAGGTGAAAACCCCAGCTAGGTATTGGGAAAATGTCAGGATTTTAAGGAAGGCATTGGTTCCTCCTTTAGCAAGGGCTCAGAAAGGCGTGGCTCTTGAAAAGAAGTCGGGGTAGGACAACTTAATAACTTTAAAATTAATTACAAAGCAGTTGTAAAAATAAGGAAAGAAAGCCACCCATAGTCTGTCCAGAAATGACTGTTAATCTCTTGTACAATATCCTTTCAGCCCGATGTCTTTGCAAACGTCCTTTAATTTTTTTCCCCATTTTTAAGTGCATTTGACATACACACTGGGCATACAATTCTGCAGCTGGCCATTTTCACAGAGTTCAGCATAAATATCTACCATATTCGAAAAGTGTTCATTTACATTCTTTGTAATACTTACAAAGTATTCCATATTATAGCCGTACCTTGCTGATTTAACCAGCCCCTTATTAATGTGCAGTTGGGTTGCTAATAGTTTTTGCCTATAGTGCTTCCCTAGCTGTGATCGTGAAACTTGCAGCTTCCTTAAAATTCCAGTCTTGAAAGTTGTAATGCAGGAGTTTGGAACTTTTGATCTAGAGAAATTACTATTTTTTATTATTTAACTTAGGGATGACATTATATGGGCCATTTAAATTTTAGAAAAAAGCATTAGGAAACGTAAGGAGCCTGCCTGCCTCGCGCTGGAGTCCTGCCCGAGGCAGCTCGGAGCTGCAGTACCGCCCCCTTGTGGCCCCAGGCAGTGTACAGCTTTGCTGGGTGAGTGCTGCCCAGCTGTGGCTTGTTACCTCCAGGGCAGTGACGTCCAATAGAAATGTCAAGTGAGCCACATCTGTAATTTTAAATGATCTGGTAGCTACACTAAAAAGCAAAGCAGGTAAAGTTAATTTTAATACTATATTTTATTTATCCAAATGATATGTCTAAAATATCATGGCAACATGTAATCAATTTTAACGATACTACTGAGATACTTTACATTCCCCCCTTCCCACACTATTCTAAGTCTTCAAAATCCAGTTTCTGTTTTGCACAAACCGCACATTTCAGTTCAGACTTGCCACATTTCAAGTGCTCAGTAGCCACATGGAGCTAGTGGCTACCATGTCGGCCAGTGCAGCTCCAGGCTATCTCTACTGATCTCAAAGCCAGGTCAATGATTAAAGGATTCTCAGAAGAGCTGGTGGTCATGGTTTAAGCTGTAAGGAAGGCCTCTCTGAAGGGGAGAAGGAGCACAGGGAGAGGATGACCGATGGCCCAACTGTCCTTGCTGCACTGGAGAGGGCAGAAGCCACCCTCCCCCCATCCCCTTTCTTGGCCCAGCTATCGTTTTGCCCCTGGGCTGGTGGCAGAAGGAGCCGGGTAGCTTATCTAAGTGTGTGAAGTGCTAGGGGCCGGGCTGATGGTTGGAGGAGGTGCCTGAGCCCTGTTTTCTACTTTCTTCAGCTTGTAGAGTATTTGATGACTCTTGAGGCTCAGTTTTGAGTGCTGGTAACTGTTTCCGGGGTGACAGGGAAAGTCCCATGATTCCCACGAGACAGTGCTTACCTCACTGCACTGTTATTGTCCTGTTTACTTTCCAAAGACGGGGAGTGTCTTCTCTGTGTCTTTGTAACGGGCACAGCCAGGGCTCCCCCAAGGGTATTTGTAACGGGGGTCCAGAGATTGGGGTGTCCAAGAAAAATATATTCTCCCCACCCCAGGGCAGGCCGCCATGGGGGATGGGATCCTTGAGCAGGGCCATTGAGAGTCATTTTGTATGTCAATAACAGGATAGCTTCATTCCTCATATGCAAAGAGGGTTATTTTGCATATCATCAAAGCTAATCAGAAAGGTTTCAAAGACTTTATATGGAATGTAACTGGGAGAGAGGGAGGAGAGACAGGGGCCTGCAGGAGAGACAAAGGGACACAGACTCTGGGGAACAGTGTGAAGACCACACGGGAAGAAAGAGGGGAGAAAGGACTCTTGGTAGTGGGCCAGGAGTGGTGCCACACGGTTATGGATTAAGAGCTGGAGATCGCGGCGACGCAGTGGATGGAGCTGAGACCCGCGAGAGGCCTGCCCAGGCGAGCCCTGGACGTCTGTTCTTTTTTTTTCTTCTGAAGGACAGTACCCTGACCGGCCTGACTGGCCTAACTGGGCAAAGGGGGAAAGGCAGGACGGTGTGTGTGCTGGTGGTTGTTTTGAAGGGATTCTGAGGTTTAAGGGTGACATTTAACCATTAGTCAAACCTGTAAAACTTGTGAATGAATAGTTCCTTTTCCTTTTCACCAAACTCTGCCATTCAGAGCAATAATTTCAAGGGCAGCGGGCAAAGGACCCACAACCGAGCGGTCCCGGGGAAGGAGGGTGTCATTGTTTCCATAATAGCATCTCCGCGCGACCCCCACGGGTCCTTTTGTTCGGTAACATCTTCACTTGATTCACTAGAGAATCTTGATGGGTCTATTGGAAACGGACTCCGTGTATGGTAAAGAAGCTTCAAGTCCCAAACTATAACCACCTTTATCTTCCTTTCTCCCCTCCTCCAAAAAACAGCTCAGGAAACGACAATCCCAGGCGGGCCTAGCACATACTGCCCGCTCGGCAGGAGATCGCCAGGTGCACTGAGCTGGTAAGGCTCGGAGAGGAGGCACTGTGCTGGGGGTGGCCTCCCACTCAGACACAGGTACAGCTGTATCCTGGCTTCACCACTGCCTACCCATGTGACCTCCAAGCCTCGGGGACTCACCTGGGAGATGGGAGTACCGTCACCTGCCTCATCAGTGTTGGGAAACGCCCTGTCTGGTTTCAGGAACTGTAACCCCACTGACAGGCAGGAGGGCCCCAAGGCTGGAAATCATCAGGGAGGCCTTGGAGAAACAGGCTCCTGAGGAGACATAACCTGTCCCCGCTGGCAGGGGCGTAGCTCCTGCCTCTCTGCTTTGCTCTGTGATGGTCATTTGTTGATGACGTGTAAGTTATCTCATGCAGAGATAACAGCCTAAGCCAGACATCGATCAGTATGGGAGGCAGACAAGAAATTGGGGGACATGGAAAAAGGACACAAAGGCCCGCACCCCTTGGCTCGGCTTGGACATGGCCAGAGTCCTCATTCTATCCGAAAGAAGTCTCCTTGTCTCTTGGCGGCTCCCTTCCTCCACCTGGCTCAGGCTCGAAACAAAACCAGAGTCAGTCCTAAACCAGATCTGGCGGTTCCCAGGTAAATCAGGCCTAAAAGTAAATTCTTTAAAGTGTGCTTTGGTTTCCCCTCAGATGCTATAGCCGGCTCTTGCTGGGAGGGAAATTTACGTTATTCACAGACCCTAACCCTACACCCTTAGGCACTCTTGTGTTTACTGTGCTCTCAAATTTAGTCATCTCTCGTTTACTAGTCTCCTCTCAGACCCATGTAAATCGGTGTGTTCCTGCCATTTGTTTTCTTCAAAGCATCATCTATTCTCTGTGAACATTAACAAATGGATGTAATGAGATAACCTGTGCATTCCTGTTACCTAGCCCCGCTGATAACCCTTTCAATAAAAGCCTTTGAACATAGGGGCACTGGGCCTTCCACGCTAGAGGGATGAGCCACGTCCTCTCTCCTGGCAAACAGAGAAGTGTTTGTGATGACTCGTGTTTATTCCCCGCCATGCCCCTCATCCGTGACAACCCCAGGACGCGCTCTGCGGGATTCAGAGCCCTGCTCCCATCTCAGCTGGCCCCGGGTGGTAACCCTCAGATCCAGGAGCCCTGCGCTCCACCGTGGCGCTCCCCGCAATACGTCCTGCCGCGTTACACATCAGGTTGTGGGGCGGGTTCTACGAGATAGTTTATGTTAGAGGGGCTGGTGCATTGTGGGAGTCAGTAAATGAGCTTTGCTAAATCTGAGTCAGAAGATTCAGGTTGTTTCCTCAACTTGCGTACAGCCTAGGTGAGGACACACAGGAGAGAGTCGCCGATGGTTCCATGAAGGCAGGAGCTCAGTGATGGCTCCAGGCCTCCAGCAGGCTAGTGTTCGCGCGAGAACAAGACCACGGGTCCGGCCTTGCACGGCTGCTTCAGAGCGCCGTGTAAATGAGATGATTAACAAGGTTTTATTACACTTTCCGATGCTATTAAAGGGTTATAAAATATAGTGAGAAAAATCACCTGAAATCCTAGCCTGAGCTCTAATGGCATGAATGTGAACAAGCTAAATAGAATGGGATAGGATTTGGATAAGGCATAGGTGAGGCAGATGTGTCAGAAGGTTCACAGGAGCCTCACCAGCCAAAGCATGTCACTCCCTGCAAGCTACCTGATAGGACCCTGGGCGCTCTGCTGAGAGCTGAGTCCAGGCCCGAAGCCCGGCTCCTGATAGTAATAATGGCAGTGATACCATTAGCAGTTACCTACATGGAGCGACAGCCCAGGGCCGGACGATTCAGAGGCCTTGTGAGTTTTCACAACGTTTTTGAAGTAGGTGCTTTCACCGTCCCCTTTATCACTGTCCCTAGGACCCTCCCGACAGAACCGCCTGAGCTCCTCCCACTTCATCAGCACCCAGTCCTATAGAGAAATGGGAGAGATTGGAGGCCCAGTCCAAATCTCTTAGTCTCTCTTTAACATTTTTTAA